TTTAACTATTCGTAGTTAAAAGAAAAAAAATTAGCAAAATCTTAAATCTCTCCCTGGTAAATAGGTACTACTCAATATTTATTTAAAATAAAAATTTAAACGCCGTGTTACGAAAATTCTTTACTCATAAAATAAATTTATGTGATTACAAATTTTACTTAACTTAATTTAACTTATATTATTTATAAAAATACGAGACAAAAAAAACATGAAATCATAATTGTTATTATTTCGGATATCTGTTTTAAGGTAGTATAACAGAACTGTAGGTACTCAATGCTCAAGTCAGGGTTTGAGTAGAAGATGTAATTCACACGTTACTTTGTACTTCTTATCCATATATTACTAGTAACCAAAAAACTTATGTTAAAAATCGTAAGGAGCTTGACGAGGACACGCTACTCTATTCGTCTATTGAAAGTGGACCAACTCGTCACTGATTCTGAAAAGGATATTATATAACAATAATAATAGGCCATGATAGAAAAGAGGCTAGAGTCGTAAGAGTCGTAATCTAGAACTCAATGCTCAAGTCAAGACTTGAGTATGATTTGAAGCACTGGAAATACGACCCTAAATCATACTCAGATCCTGACTTGAGCATTGAGTAGATTTCTAGAATACGAGACTCGTTCTGTTATTGTTTTCTTCATTTATTTAGGCAGAGTACCGTAACTTACTTACTAGACACCATAACTTCGTGAGCTAGTTGACAAAGGTTCTCGGATTTTCAATTTGTTTTGCCGATAAATATTACGTAGTTAATATACCTAATTATTAACTAGGTTGATAAACTTGGACACGCAATTTCAATACCATAGTTACTTTATTTAAAAGTACCTGTCCAAAATACAATATTTTAAGTGCTGTTAGCTGTTAACATATTTTTTAAATAAATCTTCAATATTATTCGAGTTAGTGAATTAATGAAAAATATAATATTATTAGGAGAAAATCCTAGTCTAGTGGGCGTGGCCTGCAACATCACGCCACTCGATGGAGCGAACGGAGAGGGCAGTTGTATTTAAGCTCGCCACGTCGTCAGCGCGCGTCCATTTCTTTGCCGTCGAAATCACGATCATTTAGCTTCTCTCATTACTTTGTTAATTTCTTAATTATTTCAATAAATCTTTACTTTTAGCGTTTTGTAATTTCTTTAAAAAAAATTTGATTCAATAGTTCTCGCTAATAATATTATATCGCTATAAATACCTAAACAATATGTGTAATTATTAGGATTCTATTATTACAATTAAAGATAACAGATTTGCTTATGAATTTTTGCTATGTTGCCGCTACCACGTAACGTAATTGTACGAGAAAGTGATGGGACCCTGCCACTTCACGTACACATTTGCGCGTGTGCAGATAGCGTCTTGCTGTATGTAGTAGTAGTAGTAGGTAAATAATTTTCGACCGTTGTATGGAGTGTCCGGGGTGCGGTGTGGTGTAATCTAAATTTGTTGAGATTCTTAAGCGTCTTCTTAAAGTTGTCCGATAGGTAAGACTGCAAAATGGTTAATTATACCTTGTCTGTGAATCACAATATTTTGTGTACCGAAAATATAATAGCAATCGTGTTTATTTCTTGCGGTTTCCAAAGCATATTCTCCATATTTTTGAGAATCTATCATTATGTCAGGCGATAAGGCTTGAAGGGTTACATAGAAACGCTTTATCAAAAGTTCATCGACTCCTGTAATTTCAGCAGAGCAGTGTGCATTATAAAAAAACCTCGCTGTGTTACCATCATTGGTATTACCACTTCCTTGTCGTGGTTTGTCAATTATTAATCAAAGTTCTTCAGTCAAGAGCACGTCAAGCTTGACACGTAACACTTGAATCCAACTCTATGCCGCTTACGATAAGAACGGTCCAACGTACATACAAAGTGTCAAGCTTGATGTGCTCTTGACTGTACCATAATTTTCTTCTCTTGTTTCATTCGTTTATTTTCGTCATTGTTGTACGAAATGTGCAAAATCTAATAAATCTAGCTAGCTATAACATTTTTGCTCATATGTTTGTAATTTCAATAGCTGATTCAGATGGGTATCAGTTCTGTTTACTTTTTTGTACTTTGTAATAAGGTGTTAAGAAACAGTTCCATTCATCCATAATATACTTCAAATATAAATATTGAGCCCTGGTCACATTCAATTCAATAAATACACTTTAGGGTCGTATATTAGAACTCTACTCAATGCTCAAGTCAGGATTGCACTGGAAACACAAGCACTGAAAATACGACTCTAATGGCAAGAATTTGAGTATGATTTCGAGTGCTTTAAACCATACTCAAATCCTGACTTGAACATTGAGTAGAGTTCTAGTGTTTCTTGATCACTTAGCGTTTGGATGTTATTGCAATCAATTTTAGCAATAATATTTTTTTATCTGCATCTGCAAACCTAAATACCTCGACGAGTTTTGCTTCATTACTTTCTTCGTTTGAGCGCAATCCTTGAATATATGCACCAAAGAAGTGTTCAACTCCATATTTATTATGAAGTGTAGTATTTTTTCGCTTCTTACTAGATTCTGAAGAATTTTCATAAGACATACTGGTATTCCTCGTTTTCCAGTTGAAGAAGATGGAGTGGAATCGATGGTCGTTGACAAAGTAACAGAAAACTCTAGATTCAACCAATCACTGTTAACTCTCAAAAAGGTTTCTTTCGTAATGCTTGGCTCCATCGACTGTTAAACTGATTTTTTAAAATCACTAATTATCAAACGTAAATTATCCACCGAAACTTCATAACTATCTCAAAAAAATTTTTCTGGACCTGATTTCTTTTCTCCACCTTCATTGTAGCAAAGTATTAGTTCTCTTCTGAAACTTTTGAAAGAATTAATTTTCAAAGGAATTGGAAAAGTAATTCGTAAGAAACGACTGTTTGTATAAATAAATTTATAAAATTAATGTGTCAGAGCATTATATAGTAATGGTGTAGCGTGAATAATATTGATAAATAAGATAAATGCAACCGAATGTATGTACTTGCATTGTTATGGGTATTTTTCTGCGGTAGGACATTTGTTATAATTTCTTTCATATCTTCAAAATAAATAAATATCTTTAGAAACCGCAAAAACCGTAGCTGATTTTTATAAAATTTTGATAAAGAATTTGAAAATGAAAAAATAATGAATGAAAAACGCTATGAAATAATACAAAATTCGAATCTTCGGCAAACTTCGCTAACTGTCAAACCTTTGATGAATTTGATAAAAATAGGTTTATGTGCGTTATTATTCTAAGGGTTTATGTCCCATTGACTTATAGTAAGTCAATGTTATGTCCCCACATTTAATTATTATTTATTTTTTACATTACTCAACAAATTTGAAAAATATCAAAATTTTTGACATTTACGTAAGATGTGCTTAATAACCATTGACTTAATAACACATAGCTTATCAAACAAAATCAATACGAATTGCGACGTCGAAAGTTCCAGGCCAAAGAAATTTACAAGCGGCCGTACCACGAAACTGAATATATCATACAAAAGTGAGTTCGTTCGATATTCATGGCGTATTAAGAAAGGATCACAAATATATCGCACCAAGCAAAAGCCGCAACAAATCATTAAGCATACACTCGATTGCATATTTGTTTTCTCGAAATACATACAAAACCAAAATAATTGTTATTAAAATATTTTATATGCATCTTCTGATTACAAAATCACTTTGCCCGTTGACGGAAACGTCCCTGTTTACCCGTTTGCACGCAGTTATGGTGTTTTTGCAGTTTATAATGGCACAATTATGCATTTTTCGCGTTTTCGACTGGTGTTTATCTACGATAACACTGTCAAGCGCGTTCTAAAGTTTAGCAGCGGCAACTAAATAAATTTCACTTACTTTGGGCACGCGAAGTACTTACATTTGCGGCGTCTATGTCTATCTAGATATGTCTGTGGTATGCGTTATTATTCTAGGTTGTTACGTTTAGCGATGGGCGAGTCGAGTTATTTAACTCGGTTTACTCGAGTTACTCCTACTAACCCCCCCGAATGGGTTTCCGCTTTGTCGTGGCGGGTACTGGGAGGTGGCGGGACTCGAGTAACCGTGGTCGATTTCATCCCACGGTGAAGCTAAGAGGAAACCACGGGCCGGTCGATGGAGCTAGACTAGCCCGAGGAGGAGGGCGTACCACTCGGACTCGTGTTGGTCTAGGGCGAGCGGGTCCGCGCGGACGCATTCAGGGCGGACGGTCGTGGGGGAAGAGACGTGTCGGTGTGTCGTTGCCGCTCGTCCTGTCCTCCGCGACGCTGGGGGGCTGCACCGCTTAGAGTGTAGATGCAGTGGCCGTGGGGCCGCGGGGGAAGAGACGTCGGTGTGTCGTTGCCGCTCGTCTTGTCCTCCTCGGCCGAATTTGGACGATTGGCCCGTGCGGTGGGTGCTCCAAGGGACTCTCTTCGGAGAGTCCACACGGATGCGTCTAAGTGTTGCGGCGGAGCCTTTTTTTTTTGACGGGGGGGGGGGGAATCTTTATGGATTACCCCTGAGCCCAGGTAGACTCATACTCAGGTAGACAGGGGTTATGTGGGGACTCTCACTCCAGACTGGAGGTCCTACCCCACTAAAAACCCCCCCCGGGTTTCCCTCTCGCCAGTTGAGTCGGCGCCGTGGGATCAGTGAACATTCTCCACGACGCCGCCCGGCCGCCCTAGCTTACGCCAGGGTTCCCGCGCCAACGGAGGGGCGAGTCGGTTGTCCTCCGACCCGCCCCCCAGACGAGTGAGGCCGTGCAATGTCTCACTAGGGGATCAGGCGAGCAGCGAACTGCCTTCTGTGCCGGAGCGAGTGCGCGTCCGCCGCGTCCTCGCGCACCCGCTCCGCGGCCTCCTTTTGCGACATAACCTCTGCACAAAACTCCAACCTGCCAACCGGATACTCGCGCCGCTAGTGAGGGGGTCGCAAACGTGACGTCCACGATTGACCCCCCATTTCGCCGAACGCACGTGTTGGCATGGCCCCGGTTGAGGATGACTAGCCCTAAGACTGCCGCCCAATTCTCCAACTCTGGCCCCATGGCATTGCTGACCGGGGAACCCCACGCAGCGCTCTTGGCGTTGAGGTCCCCTATCACCAACACCGGCGCCGGAGCTGCTCTCCCCTCTAGGGTCTCCAGGAACGCCTGAAATTGGGCCAGGGAGCGATTTGGAGAGAAGTACCCCCCAATCAGGGTGATTTCTCCCCACCTCGCTGCCACGAACCCTGACCCGCGCTCCTTCACCGGGGGGAGTTCCCGGCAGTCGACGCCACTATGGCCACCGTCTCCTCCCGATCCCCCGCCCAGTTTCCCCGTGGGGGAACAAAGTATGGCTCCGCCACAACCGCCACCGCAACCCCCCACTCCGCCATGGCCTGGACCAATAGATCTTGAGCCTCCTGTCCACACTGGAAGGGCAGAGGGCTCTGGTGTGGCCAATCCCCATGCACTTGTAGCAGCTCATGGGGAGGGGCTCCATCACGTGAATCATGGCAGAGGACCACCCCACCAATAGGCGGCCGGTAGCCGCCACCAATTGGGCTGCCGCTACTGGGCAGCGAACGAGTGCTGACCCCCTCCCATTGGGGGCCAACCTAACAGTTCCTACGCTCACAAGGGACGGGGAGCATTGGCCCTTCGCGGCCACCACCGTCCGGATCTTCTCTGGGGTCACCGAATCGTCTAAGCCGGTGACCCTCGGATCGGCGGTTTTGGTAGGCCGCGTTACTGTATATAAAGATGAGGATCTCCACGTCGCCACCAACTGTAATCCCCGGAGCTGCCTGCCAGCCAAGGGAAGGAGACCGCTTCCCGCGATGGTCGCTATCCCGTCTAGATTGCGAGATGCCCTCGGGCACTGTTGAGGTAGACGAGAAGGCCGCCCGGTTCCGCGTCACTTTGACGGGCAGCGAGCTGCCCCCTCATCCGGGTTGTCCTCCGACATCCGCCGCGCCGCCTCTGTCGCTGTCTCTCCACGGTGGAGAAAGTCGAGGGCTCCCTCCACCTTTCTGACTGCCTCTTTTATGGCTTTGACCACCGTCCCCTTGAGGTTAGAGGATTTGGCGGTCTCCGCTAATATTGCCGCGAGGCTGTCTCGCGCCTCCTTAGCCAGGGCCCTCTCATGAGGTTCGCTGTGCCCTCGAGTTCAGCCTCCCCGGCCTGGCCAGGAAAGCGCTCCTCTTCGCCCGCCCCCCGCTCAGGTCCAGATTCCCCGCGCTTAGTGAACGTGAGTCTATATGACCCGCCAGGGCCATCCGCGTCGGGCACACGAGGGTGTGGTCCCGTGTTATTGTGACCCACACCGACAGCTCGGCCTCTCCGAGCTGTGTTGAATTTTGGAACCCTATTCGGCTCTGGCGGCTCATCCTCACCCTCACGAGCACATTTGGAGGGAGCCGATGTCCTTTTGTCTATGGACTTTTGTCTATGTGATTTGTGAGCCTCGTCTAATCTCCTCGTCGGAGCTATCCACGTCAAACTGGGCCACTTCACTCGCCGGGCGAGGCGACTTTGGTCGGCGAATGAAGCAACCGTGCTTGTCCCGCGGTTGCCGAGCACTTCCCTTCACAGGAACCGTCTCCACGTCAGAAGCAGAATCAAGTCCGTTATTCGCGCTTTGGTTCGTCGGTTGAGGGTCGAGGCCCTCGGAAACATTAACATCGTCCTTCTCGGACACCACATCACGATTTTTATTAAGGCAATCCATATGATTCCCACGAGTGTGGGGGAAGTATTCAGTCCACTCAAGCAAAGACCCCTGTACCTGGGTAACCCTAACACATCCTGGGAGGACGGGAGGTATCCCAGGGATGACCTAATAGGTAGGTGAAATGCCCAGCCTACCAACCCACCGAAGCAGGCGTGACGTCGTCGCGCGAGGCCCCATAAAGGGGCGCTCCAACAACGTCACCTTTGGGCGTTTTTTATTGTGGTTGAGTCCACTCGGGCCGGCCAATTAAGGCAAGCCCCCTTGGTCCCAGGCGGCGGAGCCTACCTACAGATCCGCCGCGGGGGCTGGGAAAGCATCCTCTGAACTTCACAGTTGAGGGGATGTTGTCCTGGCCCCCATCCATGGCTCCTGGGTAGCGGACACGGGGAAGTTCGTTGCCCAGCTTGCAGCATGGAGGGGCCCAAGATGGAAGGCTCGTCTGGTATTCGACGAGCCTCACATTTAGAGTCGGGGGATCGTTGTGTCTCTCCTCTCGGAGAGGGCTGCGCTGGGCGCGGCCAGCTTCTGGTGGAGGCGCGGACGAGCGAGAGCGTACCCGTGCCTCCACCTGCAGCGGAGAGGAGGTACACTCCGGGGGTTTGGTGCGGTCGGGCTGCTCCCCTTCAGGGTTCAGCCCAATCCCACATAACCCTGGCTCTGCCCCCATAGGGCCGGGGTATCTGTAAGCAGATTCACTCGGGTAATAAAAAAACTCGTATAACGAGTCAACTCGAGTTACTTTTTTATGAACTCGAGCTAACTCAGTTGATCTGCCCCGCCCGCCGCCGAAGCGAATACTTCATTCATATAGCGCATCGGTGACCTTCAGACTTAGAGGATGGAAAAAAAATAAAAGAAATAGTCTAAGGGTCGTATTCCAGAACTCTACTCAATACTCAAGTCAGGACTTAAGTATTGCAGTAAGCACTGAAAATCATACTCAAGTCCTCGCCATTAGTGTCGTATTTCCAGTGCTTGAAATCATACAGAGCATTGAGCAGAGTTCTGAAATACGACCTTAAGCCTTTAGAGCACGCTCGAGTCGCGAGCGATGGGCGAGTCGAGTTGTTTAACTCGAGTTACTGCCACAACGAGTCAACTCGAGCTAGACTTTGTGAACTCGAGCTAGCTCGGTCGGTTCGGTGACCTTGGGTCACGCTTGGTGAATAGTCGGTTCGAGTTCTACTAGCGACTCGCAGTTGCTCTGTCAAACACCGAGTAGAGTTAACTCGAGTTAGCAGTCAAGTCAACTCGAATAACTCGAGTTGAAACAAATACGACTCGCCCCTTCACTAGTTACGTTATCAATATTTTTTTTTTTTTAATTATTGCTGGCCATGGAAAGAAAGTCCTTCAGCCGAAAACATAAACGTTTAATCTTAGAATAATAACGCATAGAATGATAGTTTCATATCAAACGAACT